ATCATGCAATACAATTAGTGAGTAGGATTACATTTTAAGACATAATGGATTAATATACGCAAGTTATGACTAAGAATATCTACCCTACCTCTATGATTTCCAATAATATAAGCGTGCCTACGTTCGGTATAAATTAAGGTGAATAATAAATAAATTAAATGAAAATACATTATTCACGATAACTATTGCAAAATTTTAAAATGTATTGACCTAATTTATGTGATGTATTTTAAATTAAATAATAGGTTCCGTATAAGTTAACGTAATAATAAATAATTTAAATGAAAATACATTATTCAAGATAACTATTGCAAAATTTTTAACTGTATTGATCTAATTTATGTAATGTATTATAAATGAAATATGTAACTCGGTACAAATTAAGATGAATAATAAATAATTTAAATTAAAACACAATATTCAAGATAACTATTGCAAATTTTTAAATTGTAGTGATCTAATTTGTATGATGTATTTTAAATTAAATATTATGTTCGGTATAAATTAACCTGAATAATATATAATTTAAATGAAAACACATTATTTAAGATATCTATTGCAAAATTTATATTGTATTGATCTAATTTGTATGATGTATTTTAAATTAAATAAAATGGTACATATAAATTAACGTGATAATAAATAATTTAAATGGAAACACATTATTTAAGATAACTATTGCAAAATTTTAAATTGTGTTGATCTAATTTATATGGTGTATTTTAAATTAAATATGTAATAAGTTCGGTATAAAATAAGGTGAGTAATAAATAAATTACATTCAAGGTAACTATTGCAAAATTTATATTGTATTGATCTAATTTGTATGATGTATTTTAAACTAAATAATATGTTCGGTATAAATTAACCTGAATAATAAATAATTTAAAAGAAAACACATTATTTAAGATAACTATTGCAAAATTTTATATTGTATTGATCTAATTTATGTGATGTATTATAAATGAAATATGTAACATGTTCGGTATAAATTGAGGTAAATAATAAATAATTTCAATGAAAACACATTATTCAAGATGAATATTGCAAAATTTTAAATTGTGTTGACCTAATTTACATGATGTATTTTAAATTAAATAATATGTTCCGTATAAATTAACGTGATAATAAATAATTTAAATGAAAACATATTATTTAAGATAACTATTGCAAAATTTTAAATTGTATTGATCTAATTTATGTGATGTATTATAAATCAAGTATGTAATATATTCGGTATAAAATAATTTAAATTAAAACACATTATTTAAGATAACTATTGCGAAATTTTTAATAGGTTTGATCTAATTTATTTGCTGTATTATAAATGAAATATATAATATGTTCTGTATAAATTAAGATGAATAATAAATAATTTAAATTAAAACACATTATTCAAGATAACTATTGCGAAATTTTAAATTGTATTTATCTAATTTGTATGATGTATTTTTAATTAAATATTACGATCGGTATAAATTAACCTGAATAATAAATAATTTAAATGAAAACACATTATTTAAGATATCTATTGCAAAATTTTAAATTGTATTGATCTAATTTATGTGATGTATGTAATGAAATATGTAACATGTTCGGTATAAATTAAGGTGAATAATAAATAATTTAAATTAAAACACCTTATTTAAGATAACTATTGCAAAATTTTTAATTGTATTGATCTAATTTGTATGATGTATTTTAAATTAAATATTACGTTCGGTATAAATTAACCTGAATAATAAATAATTTAAATAAAAACACATTATTCAAGATAACTATTGCAAAATTTTAAATTGTGTTGACCTAATTTGTATGATGTATTTTAAAACTAAATAATATGTTCGGTATAAATTAAGGTGATTAATAAATAATTTAAATGAAAATACATTATTCAAGTTAACTATTGCAAAATTTTAAATTGTATTGACCTAATTCATATGATGTATTTGAAATTAAATATTATGTTCGGTATAAATTAACCCTGAATAATAAATAATTTAAATGAAAACACATTATTCAAGATATCTATTGCAAAATTTAAATTGTATTGATCTAATTTGTATGATGTATTTTAAATTAAATAATATGTTCGGTATAAATTAAGGTGATTAATAAATAATTTAAATGAAAATACATTATTCAAGATAACTATTGCAAAATTTTAAATTGTATTGACCTAATTCATATGATGTATTTGAAATTAAATATTATGTTCGGTATAAATTAACCCTGAATAGTAAATAATTTAAATGAAAATACATTATTCAAGATATCTATTGCAAAATTTAAATTGTATTGATCTAATTTGTATGATGTAGTTTAAATTAAATATGATGTTCGGTATAAATTAAGGTGAATAATAGATAATTTAAATGAAAATACATTATTCAAGATAACTATTGCAAAATATTAAATTGTATTGACCTAATTTATACGATGTATTTGAAATTAAATATTATGTTCGGTATAAATTAACGTGAATAATAAATAATTTAAATGAAAACACATTATTCAAGATATCTATTGCAAAATTTAAATTGTATTGATCTAATTTGTATGATGTATTTTAAATTAAATAATATGTTCGGTATAAATTAAGGTGAATAATAAATAATTTAAATTAAAACACCTTATTTAAGATAACTATTGCAAAATTTTAAATTGTATTGACCTAATTCATATGATGTATTTGAAATTAAGTATTATGTTCGGTATAAATTAATCCTGAATAATAAATAATTTAAATGAAAATACATTATTCAAGATATCTATTGCAAAATTTAAATTGTATTGATCTAATTTGTATGATGTAGTTTAAATTAAATATGATGTTCGGTATAAATTAAGGTGAATAATAGATAATTTAAATGAAAATACATTATTCAAGATAACTATTGCAAAATTTTAAATTGTATTGACCTAATTTATTATATGTATTTGAAATTAAATATTATGTTCGGTATAAATTAAAACGAATAATAAATAATTTAAATGAAAATACATTATTCAAGATAACTATTGCAAAATTTTAAATTGTATTGATCTAATTTGTATGATGTATTTTAAATTAAATAATATGTTCCGTATAAATTAAGGTGAATAATAAACAATTTAAATGAAAATACTTTGTTCAAGATAACTATTGCAAAATTTTAAATTGTATTGACCTAATTCATAGGATATATTTGAAATTAAATATTATGTTCGGTATAAATTAACCTGAATAATAAATAATTTAAATGAAAACAAGATATCTATTGCAAAATTTAAATTGTTTTGACCTAATTTATATGATGTATTTTAAATTAAATAATATGTTCGGTATAAATTAACGTGAATAATAAATAATTTAAAAGAAAACACATTATTTAAGATAACTATTGCAAAATTTTATATTGTATTGACCTAATTCATATGATGTATTTGAAATTAAATATTATGTTCGGTATAAATTAACCCTGAATAATAAATAATTTAAATGAAAACACATTATTCAAGATATCTATTGCAAAATTTAAATTGTATTGATCTAATTTGTATGATGTAGTTTAAATTAAATATGATGTTCGGTATAAATTAAGGTGAATAATAGATAATTTAAATGAAAATACATTATTCAAGATAACTATTGCAAAATTTTAAACTGTATTGACCTAATTTATATGATGTATTTTAAATTAAATAATAGGTTCCGTATAAGTTAACGTGATAATAAATAATTTAAATGAAAACACATTATTCAAGATATCTATTGCAAAATTTATATTGTATTGATCTAATTTGTATGATGTATTTTAAATTAAATAATATGTTCGGTATAAATTAAGGTGAATAATAAATAATTTAAATGAAATCACATTATTCAAGATAACTATTGCAAAATTTGAAATTGTTTTGACCTAATTTATGTGATGTATTATAAATAAAGTATGTAATATGTTCGGTATAATTTAATGTAAATAATAAATAGTTTAAATTAAAACACATTATTTAAGAAGACTATTGCAAAATTTTTAATTGTATTGATCTAATATATGTGCTGTATTATAAATGAAATATGTAATATGTTCGGTATAAATTAAGATGAATAATAAATAATTTAAATTAAAACACATTATTTAAGATAACTATTGCAAAATTTTTAATTGTATTGATCTAATATATGTGCTGTATTATAAATGAAATATGTAATATGTTCGGTATAAATTAAGATGAATAATAAATAATTTAAATTAAAACACATTATTCAAGATAACTGTTGCAAAATTTTAAATTGTAGTGATCTAATTTGTATGATGTATTTTAAATTAAATATTACGTTCGGTATAAATTAACCTGAATAATAAATAATTTAAATGAAAACACATTATTCAAGATATCTATTGCAAAATTTATATTGTTTTGATCTAATTTGTATGATGTATTTTAAATTAAATAAAATGGTACGTATAAATTAACGTGATAATAAATAATTTAAATGAAAACACATTATTCAAGATATCTATTGCAAAATTTATATTGTTTTGATCTAATTTGTATGATGTATTTTAAATTAAATAAAATGGTACGTATAAATTAACGTGATAATAAATCATTTAAATGGAAACACATTATTTAAGATAACTATTGCAAAATTTTAAATTGTGTTGATCTAATTTATATGGTGTATTTTAAATTAAATATGTAATATGTTCGGTATAAAATAAGGTGAGTAATAAATAATTTACATTCAAGGTAACTATTGCAAAATTTTAAATTGTATTGATCTAATTTATGTGATGTATTTTAAATTAAATAATAGTGGCATTTTATGTATAGTAAATTTATAATAATATGTTTAAATAAAATAAAGACAAATAATAACAGTGACAATAATAGTTTGCAAAAATAATGTTTGGATTAACACGTAGGCTGCTATTACATGCTAAAACACCGATTAATCTATATGATGTGAGCCAAAGATGTGTTGTTGTAGAGATATTAAGAAATATGTTAAGAAAAACGTGCAAGTGCAATGGTTGACGGGCGTTTACAGGTGACGCCTTTTCGCACCACTACACGACGGTCCGCCATCATCAGAACTGGAATCTGATGAATGGCCCTGAAAGTGAATGGAGTCATTAGCATTGATTGCTTGCCTATTTAGAATGTAGACATATGTGTCAGATACTGTATGTTCGAGTCTAACGTAACAGGGGTTAAAGTTAAACTTCTCGAAAACTCTGTTCTTTTTTTCAATATCGTACGTTTAAATACAATACTACCAATTAGGATCACTAAATCCTTCTTCCCCAGTAGGAATTAATAACCGCATTTGCTATCAATGTACTTTTAAGATGACATCCACAACATCCTAGTTCATTCTTACTGAATGAACTATCATTCAGTAAGAATTAACCAGGATCAAGGTCAAGATGTGACTTCATGGTCGTTCTATCCTCCACTGGCGCCCAGCCAGCATATACCGTTAGCGCAGGCAGGTGTAACAATGTAACATTTCATATTCATCTATAAAAATAATCAATACAGTTGTATTGTAATGTCTGTATGCATATTTTCCAAAAAATGAAACAAAACTTTAGAATTACAACTTTAGAGTCTATTTCCAAAAATTTGCTGGTATTCAATATATTATTAAGGGTGTAATATAATAATAACAATTTGTATATTTTACCTGTCCCATTCAGGACCACCGTTGCTCCAGCCTGTCTCTCTCCTGCAGAAGCAGCTCCGCCTCCTCCTTCAGCCTCTCGTTGTTCTGGTCGAACCATTCCTGCTTGATGCCATCACGTTCTGTCTTCAGCTTGTTCACAGCGAACGCCATATCTGAAATTATATATTACTAAATGACCCACGCAACATTAACTGCAACAAAAGCTCAAAAGCAATAAATTTTCAACGATTTTGCAACATTTTTCATTGATAGGTACACCACTTCTATTTGTCAATCTTAAAATAAAATAAATATGCAAACAAATAAGTAATGTCATACTTGTTTGTTTGCATATTTATTTTATTTTTATTTTATTAATATGCATCCATCATAGACATAGCAGGTAATCAAACAAAAACAACAAAAGTTTTTTTTTTATTCTCTATACTGAGCTTGTGCCATTTTATATTGCTGTCACCCATTTGCAGATATTCTACTCATATTCTATTGTATGTATTTGTCTAAATATACTTGTAATTAAACCTATAAGTATTTACTAGGGACATATATTTTTTATATTCGATTTAGATCTACCTACCTTAATAAACGAACCAACCAACATTAAACAAATTTCTTAATTCAAACTAGTAGTTCCTGAAAATAACGCGTTCAATAATATATACAGTCTTTATAATATTATAGTATAGACACTAATAATTATTTGGCAAACTTATTTTCTTTCTTATTCTTTTTCTGACGAGTCTGCGTTACGAATGACTAATAGAATAAAAAAATATTTGTTACATATATTGTAGTTGAATATATATCATTAAAAATATAGTAGATATAATATTTATTTCTATTTCTAATATAATATCCCATCAAACTACAACCACCGCTACATGCCATCAAAAAACCGATTTCAACCGCATTCAAAAACAAATGGTCATGTTGAAATTAACAACTAATTCTGTTCATGTACAAAAAGTTTTAAGATAAACAAAATAGAGTCGAATTTAGAAGGTTTTCTTTTTTATGGTTGATAAAAAGAAACCTAAATACTCACGCTCCAATTCAAAGAAAATTGCCTCATGAAGCAACAAGTCCAGGTTAGTAAAATCAGTCGGCAAGAGCAATTTCTTGTTGCGCAGGTAGTTCAAAATGTGGCGGAACATTTCGCCATCACGATCGATGAAGTAGTGTTGCTTCAGGGTGTCCAGGACTATGGGAATAGTCCCATTGAACATCCTACCGAGTCTTGACTCAGGAAAACTGGAAATATAATATGTTATTAATATTTATTTAAATATTGACGCCAGATTAATTATAGAGTAGGCATGGAAAATTGCGTATACTTGGATTCTCTCCTTACATTATTTAAGGAGTAAAAAACCCATAGAAAAGCATGTTAAGGTATACGACATTAGTGTATAGAAAAAATTGTGTTGCGTTATTTGCGCCCAACCTAAGAGCTAGCTCTTAGGTTTACAGGGCGTTACATTAAACAAAAAACTAATAAATATATCTTATTAAAAACAAGATTTTGAGATAAACACTATACAAGAGATAAGAAAATATTCAAAAATGATAGATACTTCTAATTTATGAGAGATAGTGAATGTGTTTGTGTGTGTGTGCACTTGTGTACATCCATGTTGATGTGTAGGTATGGTAACGTACATCTCCCTCATTTACATATGTCTTTTTATGTAATTGGAGTAGCAATTAAATTAACAGCCTACCTGATGGTCAGTTACAACTGTCACCTAAAGACATGTATACAGAGTACTTCTTCACGTTATCAGGTGATGCCCGTACTACTAATTTATTGTTTACTAATGTATTATTAACTGTTTGAAAGTAAATTATTCACTCTGGAGTAGCTTATGTTACTATGAATATTTAGCTATGAGTCTTGTCTTAATAGAGTGTATAATAATGTACCTTATTTATACAAGACTTATAGTTAGCTCTAGTTCTGAATACAACAATGGTATTCAAAACTAACTAACGCCAACGCAAGTATCTAACAAACAAGCTCACTTGCACAGTTGCAAAGTAGCAAGTAAGGCTTAAACGTGAGTGCTTTAACTAAAACTGACTTGACGTAACAGAATCTGTTCATGATAGTGATGATAGCAAACTTTCTGCTGCAGTACATTAACCAGAAATAATTTGACATATCCACGAAACTGCTACTTGACATAAATCAAACTAAAATACCTCCTTTATTCATGTACTAGCTCAGACAGCAACTTTCCTTCAGCAAAGTTGCGGGCTGAGCTAGTACATGAAGTAGATACTAGTATGAAGATATAGGAGCTAGGTTTCAAACTATGCGCAGTGGTTTTCAGTAAAATATATATAAATTTATAACTTTTTTCTGTTTGCAAACCGATTGGAATAAAATAAACACTTAAAATTAAGTGACTCCTACTGCAATGCAGTGGAAACTGCATTCGAATCGGTCATAACATTTCTGAGTTTAGAACGCACAAACGTAAAAACAAAAAATCTAAATAATAACATATTTTTATAGCCACCTGTTTTGATTTAAAAACCAAGCTTTCGATGAAATTTATATTGTTTAAGAATTTTCTAAATCTGTTAAGAATGTAGTTCGGGTATACATGACAAACATGTGGCATATATGTATGTACATTGTTATTAATGTTTTATATTCACCGTCAATATAATAAAGAATTAGTGTCATAATGTGTCTTTTTAGAATAAACATCCTAATTACCAGTTATGGAATATAATTTAATATATACAAATACGAATGAAGAACCTCCACTTTTTTTAAGTTGAGTAAAAATTGAAGCCTTCAGAATTATTATACAGTAACGGTTACGTCAGTCTTTCGGCGAGGTGTGCAATTGGCAAGATATTTACTTTCGTGCCCGCGAGTGAGTTGATTAAAAGAGCGGGATCCGGGGGTGGACCGAGTGGGTATAGGGTTGACAATTGCGTGAATACTATTGAATTATTAAATTTGTTTTTCTTCCATACTAGTGTTGACCATCACTTCGTGCGCTTGTACATATTTTATACTATATTTATAAAGGATTACAAAGACAACAATATATAAAGCATCTAATATTTCATTATAAAAAACAATCATAATAAAATTTGAGTATTGAAAATTTACATAAAATTAATTCTTGCCCTATATTGTATTTGTTGTATTTTTGTTATTGAAAAATACATCGTAATTCTTAAAACTATTTCTACATTAATACAAAAATTAAAATTTTTATAAATACATAAATAAAAAAGAACAGTGTCTATAGTAATGAAAAGTAAAACAAAACTAAACCAGTGAGCAACTCAATGGCAATCTGTCAATTCTGCCAACATTCCTGATACGTAACCTACACTTCTTGAAACTTTGTATTTAATAAAATAACTTACCCTGATAATTAATCGTCTGAATAGATCTTAAAAATTACACGTAAAAGACATATTATACTGCGGACATAACTACAAAAAGCAGGAATCGCTGCTTTTTAACCATTCTAAAGTACCCTTAAACATTAGATTTGATTTTCATAATTCTATAGACGGTACCTAATCCACTTGTACGAGTAAAGGCACAACTGAAATAGCAAATAAGCCGATTTATTGCATCCAATTAGCACGAAGTAGTCATTAGCCAAATTAATCCGCAGTAAGCTCACTGCACACTCCACAATTCACGTTAAATACAAATATATCTATCGAGAATTATTTCATCAACTGTTGCATTTACTGAGACGCCGATATTTCACGGTGTCTTTTCATACCCCGGGATTGCAGTTTGCTGTTTGTATTACTGTCTATTGGCAAAGTAAATAGATAAAAAAAATATTAGCAATCCTTTTACCCTAATAGGAATTTAAAAGGCTCGTTTATCTAATTCTGGTCTCCCGGCTATCCGTATTACAAAGCATCAGCTTCGCATATCAATATCTCATTTTCGCATTCTTTCTTTTCCAGTCAATCCGGTCTCATAATCCATTCTTATATTGTAAATTCTAAAGTGTCTATTTGCTTTCCACCAATAAAGCCTTCAACTGCTCTTAATAAAATTTGGCATGCAGATTGATTGTATCGTACATATCTTTATCTATCTTTAATATAATAAACCAGACGAATTGTAAGGCTGATCCTTACAATTCGTCTGGTTTTTCGATATTAAAGATATGTATTTTTCGTATCAGTACTGATATTGTATTTTTAAATAAAAATATGTAGTAAGCCCTACGTTGCGGCACCAGGAGGCCGCAGGGCTCGGGGCACCGCCGGCGGCCAGCAGCGCACTCCCGTCGAGAAATAACACGCTCAGCGCTGATAAAACAAGCTTATTTACAATCCGACCGATCCACCGTATAGCGCGCATTATGTAGCCTGCGACGAATAATCCGATATTTTAAATGATTTAACTCCGGATTCTACGCGTTAAAATGTCAAAGAACTATCGAAAACAACTAATTGAGACCACGATCTGAAATATAGCTTAATGTGGCTGTGAGATTGCAATTTGATTCTAAAGGAATGGAATAAACTTGAAACTTTCAAAATATTATGTTAGAAAAGGATGGAAATATAAAGTAAGAACGAAGCTTACAAAATTTTAAGAAAGTTTAAACGTTACAAAAGGTTAATGAAAGGTTAGGTTAAGAAACATTGAGATCCTGCGACACCTGCAATAGGCGCTTCGTCGGGATACCTGGGAGTTTTTAGTGAGTAGGAGTCTTACAGTAGGTACCCGCTTGCCTCCTCCGGGGCGGACGGGTCTCTATGAGGGATTTCCTCAAGTAAAAAAAGTTAGGTTAAGAAAAAGGACAGATCATAAACATCACTAAAAACGTATATCTATCAACCATTATTACTTCTTCTATCTACTTCATCAAGTGGGCTTTCAACTTGTTCACGTCTTCATTCCAATTACATCATTTTATTATATCTAGGTACAATATAATTCACACTGCTCCATATAGTTTCAAGGTAAGTAGAGCTTATATTATGGCTACTAAACAACTGTTACAAATACATAGACGTATTTTGTTAATACATTATACATATTCAACACCTAGACCTGTTTGTACTGAGGGAATCGAACCCGCGACCACCGGAGATAAACCGCTAAACCATCGAGATCGTTATCATCTACATCATATATACATTATATGTATAGAAATATTGTACGTACGCAGTCAGAGTTTCCAAGGACGAGGTGTAAATTGTCCCTCCCACGTCAATGTGCACTGGAGCGCTGAACTTGGTGGTGCCCCCTACACGGGGGATCCCCGCCATGGGCTTCTTCTCCATGCTGCTATCTGGTTGGGGACTTCCTGGTTTCACCGACATCAACCTGGCAGCTCCTGCGGGAAGTTTTTTTTTATTTGGGTAATGGAAAATAATAAATAAAAGTTTCTTGCCAGTTCTTCTCAATTGGATCTATATACTGAACTGGATGGTAGAGAAATAAATTGTAATAAAAATATAATAATATATATAAATATAAATATATATAAAAATATGAATAAATGTTTCTGAATTTAAATTTGTTTTTGAATTTGAATCTAATAGCCGATGTTATAACCGCAGAACACACCCAGACATCATACTCATTAATACAAATGTTTGTAGCTTGCGAAGGCGGTGTGCTAATAAGAGCTAGGAGAGTCACAAACTTCATATTTAAAAAAATATTTAATATGAAATTTTAATTATGAATATGTGAACTCTCACAAGGCTTAGAGATAAAATAATAAATTTATCTCCAACTAGATCCGCCGGTTAAGCTAAATAGAACAGCAGCCAAATAAATGCAATTATCAATAAAGATGTACATTAACATATGACATATCATCTTTGCATAGTATAAAATGAAGTCTGTTCCGCTAAATAAAAAAAATTAAAGAGTAATTGAAGTGGAAAGTACATGTATAGGTATAATACATGTAATGTGTGATGATGAGGCGGGTAGCTAGTAAAACATATGTTTCTATTACCACACGGAGATTAAAAAATACATAGTTTTCGAAAATAAACCACACCAAAATCAAATCGTACACAAATCTCATTTATTCACTGTAACAAAGTCGTCAAATATTAACAAACAAATTTCGTAACATAACCCTTTTTGAAGTGAATTCTAGATTATTTCTCACAGGGCTTGTGCTTTAAGGATAGTCCCTATTTAAATTTTGAATGTATAGTACAATATATTCAGAATTAACACTGTATGTTTCCACAATGCATAATATTTAGGCCTATTTAAATTTTGCATTCAAAATGCAAAATATCTTTATTCATGTAGGTCTATTACAGACTCTTATGATATGTCAAATCTACTGTCAATATATAGATAGTATATTCAAAATGAACTTTGTCTGTAGGTCTCTACAATGCATATTTAGACCGTTCTGGAAATACGCTGTCACCGTGAGAGTCTCTTGCAACTCTCGACCTCGTCGTGATGCACGCCGCGGCGTCGCCAGCGCTCTCATGGCACCCTTCAGCGAAAATTATACATTCATACGACCACAGCTTATGCCATAGAAAAGAAACAATACTCTGTGGTATTAGGCACATTGTTGTGGAATCTATGCATATAAATAAAATTGGAGTGTCTGTTTGTAATATTGAAATAACCGTTTTTTACTACATGCATATATAAATATGGTACATACACCAAAATAACATTTTTACAATTTCTGTCTGTCTCTTTGATCAGGCGAATCTCTGAAATATCTGGATCGATTTTGACGGGACTTTTTTTGGCAGGTAACTGATGTAATAAGTTAAGCTAAGTTACACTTAGGCTAATTTTATATTAGAAAAAATCTTTTATTTTAGAAAAATAAAGTTAAATTCCACGTCGTCAATTAAAAGTCGAGAGAAAAGCTAGTAAAAAATATAATCCAACACATTTAAAAGTGCATTCGTCAATTTATTAAAGTTTGCCTATATTTTTAAATTGGCTACTACAGTTTGACCCTATTAAAATTTTGAGTTAGATTAACTAGATATATTTTAATTAAAATTAAAACCTACTTAAAAACCTACATATCTATACATATACTAAAATTGTAGAGGTCCAATTCCGGTACATAGAAAAAAAAACTCTAAAAACCGACTCAGAGGGATGTTAGAGGGATCTTAAATAACCTCCACACTATAGTAACACGTAATCTTTACATAAATAATATACTAGTTGTATTGCGAATTTCTACTACTCATTATATCACTCACAAATATATTATATATATATATATATATATATATATATATATATATATCCATAGGTGAATAAATTATAAAATACCTTATCAGCTTTTTAAATTAATATTTATCATAAATAGGAAACAAATAACAAGTAATTCAAGTCATATATATAGCTGTATTGCTGTAACTTGGAAAGACTTCCCGTTCTAGACAGACTTCCGGTCTGGTAGTACGCTTCAGTGATCCAATTAATTACTTCTGACTACCTAATAAAGTACTTGGTACTTATATTTAATGAAATAAGTTCCCAACGTGATTAATCATAACTCTTATGTTGTACCAGTAGCGAAATTTATACTTATATATACGAAAACAAATTATTAATTTATATACTAGCTGGTAACTATGACTTCATCTGCACGTGCTTTCTCATGATACAATATATCTTCATGTTAAATTTCATTAAGATCCGTTCAGCCGTTTAGAAGTGAAAAGTTAAAAACAGACAGATTGACAGACACTTCTAAGACTTCGTTAAGCCACTCCTGATTCTATTAGACCTGAATATGCATATAAAATTCAATGAAAATCGATGAAGCCATTTCGGACGAGTATGATAACATACATACACACGTAATTTTTCTATATAAGATAAACAATGTTACCAGTCTTATTACGTCATAAAGTTATATTAACTTATAACTCTCATCCACTACGAATTTTAATCCCGTTTCACATAACTATAAATTGTTGACAGACGGATGATGGCTATGACAGAATATATCTATTAATATATTAATAGTCATCACTTAGTTGTAGAATGATTAATTAGCTTACCCTTTAAATTTTAGTATATCTAAAAGAAGCGAAAACTGCATTAAAACTTGTAAAATCCGTTTATATACATGAGACAAAACATCATTCATAAATTCTACGCACCATTTTTATTATGGTAGAATAAATTCTTGTTTTTCATTAAATAATAAATACACAAGCACTCCACTGTTACACATTTATTATACGTACTTGTACAATGTAATTTACGCGTCAGGCTGAAGTTGGCTATAAGCCTCTCAGTAAGTACTACTACTAGTTAGGAGTGCTTGCTGCACACGGCCTCGTTCCATCTAGTACAGTTGCAGATATTAAAGTTGTTAGGAAACAAAAATTAACTAGTTAGTTCGTATTTATTTTCTTAATTTTAATTTTAGTTATTTTAATTTTAAAATACTATTCTCCACTCTTTTATATAGAAAATAGAGTTCAATTTCGCAATCATCCGCGCAATTTTCGTATAAAGGGTCTTCTCCTCGTATTCAGTACGTCTTCACTAGAGAAAGGAAATGAGGGTAATTAGTAAAGTAGACGAGAGACCATTACTAATAGTATAATAAGTTAGTAAGTGTTGAAAGTGGTTCTCAAATCCTATCAAAGTAGTAACATATTTAGATGTCGATCCGGAAAATCCATCATGGTGAATTTCTCCCATCGTATAATCCACTACCCCTTTAGCAAATACCGTTAGCACAGGCGGGCAACCATTCCATTTTCATTAATTAAAAATATACGTATATACAAAAGTTACTCACAACTAGATAACTCAAAAGAACTAAGCTGGTTGTTTTACATTTCACATAATGGAGGTCTAACACGGCCGGACCTAGTCCGACTTTAATTATTTCTTATCTCCTGAATGCATCTCTGTTACAGTCGGCTGTGGACGACCTATCTCGTTGGTTTCACACTTTACCGTGTATTCAGGTCTAGCAAAAGAGAAATGTTTTTCTTTGTACACACTACTACAGTACTACCAGCATGAATATTTCAATGGGATTACTAATTTTTTTTTGTGTAATTCAAAACAAAATCTATTGTAGGCACATATGATAATTTGAATCTACCCTCAATTCAATACGTTGAACCACGAAGAAATAATTAATTTTTTTTATTCTTACTTTGTTTAATTGAGATTGTACTTGATTACATTAACGCATATTCATGTTCATAAAGAAAGAGAGATAGAATATGTTTATAGTATTTTAATATATGTATGTGATTTTTTTCTATAGATATAATAAACTAGCGGTGTCTGCGACTTCGTCCGCGTATTATAGTGACCTTGACCGAATATAGAAAAAATATTTCATAATCTAACCCAAAAAAGGCAAAGAAAAAAGATTCCTCATTATACTTTAAAAAATGACGATTTTCTATACAAACTTTTATCCCTTATTTTTTACCCCCTTAAAGATAAAATTTTACAAACTTAGTCATAGTATTTAATGAACAGCTTAAAAATTAAGTTACAAGATTCTAGTTTTAAAAATTACAATACTTCTATACAACCCTTCATCTCCCCTTTCAACCCCTTACAACCTTTCTCAGGGTCTAGACTATCTGTGTACCAAATTTCATTTAAATCTGTTTAGTAGTTTTGGCGTGAAAGCCAGACAGACAGACAGCCAGACAGAGTTAATTTCGCATTTATAATATTAGTAAGGATAAACAGGATATTCATAAAACCTTATCTAGTGGCACTATGGCATTATAAGACGTTGTATAAATTGTCTGGGTTGCCATATAGTCCCTAACTACGAACCAAAGGAGTGATTATAAAAATTATTTTCTCTATAAAAAGCTATATAATAAAGAGGGCGTTATAGTTTATTAAAAAAATATACGACCGACCCAAGTAAGTGCCAATTACTAGTACCTATTATTTAAACTTAACAAAAGAAAATCAATTCTTTATTAAACATTTACTGAGACGAAGAAGTTCCTCTGTTTTAATCGTACCGAGCCTGTGTCAAGAGTAATTAGAGTAACTAACTCTGCCTGCGACTTCGCTCTCTAGTGTGTTTATAAGTTTCAGTACCTTAATTAAGCACTAAGCCAATATTAAGTGCTTCATAGTTTTAAACCAATAATGTAAGGACAGTTTACTAATTTTACTGCAATCTCTTTGTTACATTATATATGTTGAATAAATTCCGCTCTGATTTCCCTAGATACATTTGTAATCAAAAGCAGTAACTTTTTCTAATACATGTGCTAGCAGAAATGGCTGATTTTAAAAGAATAATCAAAATCTGTTAATTGGCGTAATGGAAACTAGTAGACCTGTTGCTGACAAACTATCAAGTAGACAAAT